GAGCCCCATTCCGTCGCATGGGTAAGGTCTACGGCGGAGGAGGATGGAGCAACGGAGCTCTGGGTTGCTGGCAGAATGCAGTGGCGGCGCCCTACCACGAGCGCATTGCGCCTCAGGTTCGTCCACGCCAAAATCCCCAGTATTAGTTCAGGGCGCTCCAGGACAGGGCCGCGCAGGGGAGCTGCCAGGGTAGAAAGCGGCGTCGCGAAACGTTGCGTACGCAATCCGCCATGAAAGGTTATATACCGCACGCCGTATATGAAAACCAAAGGACGGACAATATTGTATCTACCGCTGCCAGTCCATATGCCGCCTTCTGCTAATCTCTTTTCCACGAATTCAACACATGTAGAGAATCTTGTGTGTAAGGGTGGTTCGGACCAAGGACGCGGCGCCATAACCGGACGCAATCGTCCATTATCGCCAGTGCTTCATTGTACCGGCCCAAGCTATTACACGTAATAGCCAAATCGTACACGTGCTCGGCGCCAAGCATCCCGATACGATCCAGAGCATGGCGAACCTCGCAGCGACATACCACGGTCAAAGGAGGTACGGCGAGGCAGGAAAAATGAGGGTGGAAGTGCTAGATTTGAGCGAGGGCGTCTGTGGCCTCGATCGGGTACTTGGATGGGCGAAGGGAAAAGCTGAACGACGGAGTTAAGCACCACCAGGTCTGGGCGTGGCCTGTCCAGCTGGCCCGCATCTGTCGCTGTGCCGACGTGGACCTCGACCCGGCCGGCCAGGGCCGGGTCGGACTTGACCCAGTCGGCGACGAACGAGGCTGCCGACCGCGACGGTTCGAGGCCCGCGTAGCTTTCTAGCCCTGCAGCCTTGCCGAGATTGAACAGGATCATGCCGGTCCCGGTGCCTGTCCCCGAACGGAGTGAGTAGCGGAACGGTAGGAGCGGAGCGACTTCGACCAGAGAGAGGCCCGGAGGGTTTGTCCGAGCGGAGCGAGTTCGGAGCGAAGCGAAGAGAGGGGTGAGCGTAGCGAGCCATACTTCAAATCGTTGGTGCTGGCTGGGCCTGCACCCCATTATAATTACCTGTCAACCAAGTTCCGAAACCCTAGGGAATGCCTGTCCAAGCCATGACCATGCTTTGGATATACCCTGGGAGAGGTGATATGGAACAGTAAAGCTTGGCTTCCCAGCGGTCCGACCCGTACAAGCTAGGTGTGCAGACGACTCTGTTCGGGTTGGTACCTAAACCAATCTCTGAACTGCAGAAAAGGATCCCGGAATGTAGCTGTCTAACAAATGATACGCACCTCCAATATACCACCAACAGGGTCAGATTGAGCACAGTGCCAGCCTTGATGACCAATCAAGTGTTTGTTACGGGGCACGAGGACAGAAAATTTGACAAAACCTGCTCAGCAAGGGAGGCGGAGCAAACATTCAGGCAGCCGGGATGGTGTAATTGGGCAGATGAAGGCGCTTTTTGGCGGCCCCAACCCCGGGCTCTGTCTGTTACTGGCGGGTTCGAGGGGATATGCCTTCACGCAGTGGGTGTATGGGCAGCTGCTGAATTGGTGCCTGGGGCCCGATAGCCCCAATTCCCCCAAACTGCGTTTGCCCACGGCAGGAGAATGGGCCGATATTTGCAGCCGCTCAACCCGAATGGCTGCTTTTAAACGCCACAGTGCTATTGATGCCCTTTGCAGCCCCAAGTTCGATTTACTGCAGCTGAGTTGGCGTCGTAGGTGTGGCAGACTTCCCATAGACGCGGCCAATGATCTGTTCTTAACCCCCTCGCTTGGCAAGTGACGCCCAGCTTGTGTCTGCCTGGGCTGCTAGCCTGCAGCTCCATGCCGTTCCGGCCAGACGCAGTGCCCAACACGGCTCGGGGGGAAGCGCTCATTCAAGAGGAAGGGTTATGTCTCGCGCGCACAGCCTCTCCCCATTCGGCGGCTCGACTTCCTCTGCCCTTCCCACTTTTTGCTCTCGCGCATCCTAGGCATTTATATCGCGAGTAAATTACAGTCACTTCTCGTCATAAGCAAGGCAGCCGCACGAAACGGCCGCGCTCACAAACTGCGGCAGACCCCCAGACGTCGATTTTACCTCCCTAATGCTATTCTTGTAATAGCATATCTTCTTTCAAGTGTCATTATCGGAGGCATATGCAGACAAGGTTTTGGTATATCGCTCAAGAGTGAGTGGAAGAGAATTTTTGGACAAGGGGCAGCGCTGTCGCCCCCCTCGCAGTCCATGGGTACGTTGAGACCGGACTGCAGAGATCCGTTCTCCCGAGCAGGGAGACGCGGAGCATAGCAGGAAAGCTTTTGACAAATACGATAGAGCCGCTTGCTCCCGGTTCGTCCATCGTGAAACCGACGCAAGCTACCACAGAGGACGCGGCAGACGAGGCCGACGCGTCGGCCATGGCATCTCTCAAGATGATTCCCAAATCATCTGGCAGCACCATAGAGACACAAGCTGAGCCGGTTCAATGCCGACCTGGAGACGCACCTGCGACCGCTACAGTTGACCGATACGCTTCGTCAAAATCGCTCGACCTTGAACTTGGCCAAATGGACAAGGGGAAGGGTGTGCCTGATAAGTGGGCGGTGCTGATCGGCATCGAATACTACGAACATCCCGCACAGCCCACGACCACACCGCGATACGGCCATCTGGGTAACAAAATTGAGTACAAAACTCTGCGTGGCTGTGTAAACGACGTCCTTGCAGTCGAGCAATATCTTGTCGACACAATCAATGTCAACCCGGAGCACGTCATCAAGCTTCTTGCTCCAGAACCAGGCCGAAAATATCTGTCGCAGCTCCCTCCGGGTACCTACCGTCGCCCCACTTATGACAACATTGTCGATGCATTGAAAGTGCCCGAGGGTGCTAAGCAAGGTGACTTTGTCTACGTCCACTTCTCCGGCCACGGCGCCCGCGCTACGACGGTCTTTCCGGAACTGAAGGACCGCAGCGCCAACGATGAGGATCAGGTTCTAGTGCCAAGCGACATCACGCGTGGCGGAAAGTACATCCGGGACCTCGAGATAGGCATTCTCCTGCAAGCGATGGTAGACGCTGGCCAATCGTGACGGTCGTGCTTGACTGTTGCCACTCGGGCGGTGCCGTTCGAGGAGATGACGATCCAGACCTCGGGGAGACACGCGGCATCCCAGAAGTATACAAGTCCGATCCCCAATTGGACCTGCCCGGGAACATAGACCGCATCATGCACTGGGGACGCCAGCGGCCGTGGATGCAGGCACCACAAGGTTTCGTCGTCCTTGCCGCGTGCGAGGAGTATCAGAAGGCCCACGAGATTTACCTAGGGGACCACAGCCACGGTCTCCTGACCCACGTGCTCCTGTCAATCCTTCGCAACGGCCCAGTGGAGGTCTCCTCGCAGGCGTTCTACGAAGGGATCCGCGCCAGAGTGCAGGACAGCAACCGGAACCAGACCCCATACCTCATTGGCGACAAAGACCGCTTCTTTTTCAGTGACAAACTCCGATCGCGCGTGCACGCTCTGACCGTCAACAGAGCGTGCGTGGACAGAAGGAAAGAGCTGATAGACCGCTGGGTGCGCCTGGCCGGTGGCAAGCTCCACGGAGTAGAGGAATTGTCTGAGTACGCCATACTGCCCTGGAGCTTCGACCTCGGCAAACGGATCGAGGAGACAGACATCATTGCCCGCGTACGAGTGACAGAAGTAATGACAGGGGAGTCCATCGCGTCCTTCACGCAAACGGACCGGGTGCTTTGGGAAAAGATTGTCGAAGGATGCCCGGCTGTTCTGCAGCAGCTGCCCATCGTGAAGAAGTCCACTGTCTACTTTGCTATCACCGACGACAAAGTGAAAGAGGACTTCGAAAGAGACTGGCATGGGCACGACGGCAATCGTACCTGGCTTCATCTTAACGAAAATGGCGTCAAGGACACGTCTTTCACCGTCTCGATCGACAAAAGCGGTAATTTCGAGATCCGTGAACGGTCGGGCAATTTCACACAGGCCATCCGCAACGCTGTGCGGCCGCTGCCGGCTGCGGCCCCAGACAACATGCGCGCACTCATACGTCGCCTAGAACATCTGGCCAGGTTCAAAATGACTAAGGCACTGGCAAATCCAGGCTCGCGGCCCGGAACGTCATCCGCTCTCATCTCGATCAAGGTGGACGCTCCAGCCGAGGGTTGGGAGCTCCCGTCGGGACAAAAGGTGCCCCCGGCCGAGATAAAAGAATGGATGGCGGGGGCATATGAGCTGGACGAGGAGAAATTGTTCCGTGTTACAATCCAGAATCAATCCGACCGGCCTTTGGGCTGCGCAGTTCTGAACTGTGGCGCGGAGTTGGGCGTCGAGCATCTCTTTCCACCGAGAGAGCCCTATTACAGACTTCGCGAAGGCGAAACCAAGAAGACGTATTTTTGGATGCAGGTCGCCCCGGAACTCAGGGCACCGGCTAAGGACGGCGTCGCCGTTGTAGATACTCTCAAGATCTTTGTGTGCGACCCTCCAAGGAGCCTTGACGCGCTCCAGCTCCAGGGTTTGGGGGAGATGGAAGACGCGGTCACACGAAGCGGCATCAGCGAAAGGTCCCATGATCTGGAAGACCTCTTGGGCGATCTTGGCACAAGCTGGCTAAGGCATTGCATCCCCACTCCCGGTGCTCAGAAAGCCGACTGGGAGACGGCCGACGTCAGAATTCGGATCAGGCCGCTCCTAACAGAAAACCCCTTTCCTTGATTGAAAAGACGTGCAACTTTCCGACAGCTACAGCCGCCTATTTGGAGAATCTTTCAAGGGTCCCTGTTCGCTGGATAGAAAGTGGAGAGGGGCGAAAATCAGTTATCCCGAATGTTGTCATACAGTCACTCCGTCCATCCCTTCATCCACCCGATACAGTATCTGCTCTCCATCCAAGTCGACACTCTCGTACGTGCCCATCAAATTTAGCAGGGTAACGGTTCCAGCAACCTCCGCATCAACCCCTTCATCGGTATCCTCTCCGGCCCGGGTGGAGACATACGATTTCCAGCGATTGCCCTTCTCAAGGTAGGCTTTATCAACTTTCTGTGTTGAAAACCGCGAGAAGTGGATTTTGCGATACTGCACTGCGAAACCCTGCTCACCGGCGGCCGTATACCCAACCTCCTCAGCGGAACCGCTCGTCAAAGAGAAGCTACCGCCGATATCGAGGTCCGACCCTAGCGCCGGCACCCCCCCTGCAGCGGCGATTACAGCGGACACGGCAACAGACGCGTCGAGCTTGGTTTTGTGGCAACGCGCTAGACTAACGCGAGCGTCGGTTAGCGTCTTGAAACCGCACACGAGGTAGACTTTGCTGTATAGGCGCTGGGATTCCTTCTCCAACCAGGTGCGCACATGGGTCTCCCGACACGCAGCGCTGAAGTAAGCGCTAGCGTTGCGCAGCTGGTGAATGACGCAGAGCGGGGCGGTGATGGTCTCTAAGCGTGTGGGTGCGGAGTCTGTGGCCGCGAGCAGTTTGAGCAGGCTCAGCCCCAGTCGTGTGCCCCGTGTGCGCTCAAGCACAGTGTGGAAATTTTCGAGTCGTTGGGTAGCAACGTCGGGTTCGAAGGGGCGCGCGATGGGATATATGGCGTCCGGTGATTCGTCGCCCGGGCTTTGGGAATAGGGCTGGCAAAAGTCTTGATCGGGGTACTTGGGGTCCAGAACGAGGCGGCCTAGCTCGATAGACTCCCGGGGAATGGGGCGGTTCAGCAGGAGGTTTGCGATTGACATGGTGCGCAGCGGTTGTCAGAGTAGGATGGAAATGTAGAAAAACCATTCAGGGGCAAATTGGCTCGGAAAGAACATGGAATTGCTTCTTTATGGAGGCCTGTAGTGGTGGCAATGGCCACGTGTCGCTGCAGAATATTTGTTACAGTTTCCGCACGAAGCCGCCTCAAATGATCAGCATGCGTCTAGAAATTTCTCCTTGCCGCCGAGCGTGGACGGAAAATCGGAGGCATTTAGGCTCTTATCAGCGTCATGTTCTACACCGGGTACAAACCCCGGCGTCGGTGGTGGGCTCCGGTCTGTGTAGCGGACAACACCGACGTTCGGGTCGGGAGAATTAGCGCCCTCGCTAATACACGGTGGCCACCATCAAGCAGCGACGGTCCTGCGCCGCGCTCGGAAATGTTACGGGGTCAACGGCGCTTGGGGTTACAGCAGGAGGCAGAGTGACTTTGTGGTACTTTCACCTTCGCGCGTCGCGAACGCGAGACCCCGGATGCTTGCAGGCATGTGAATCCGGACGTGGAGCGTTCTCGCGGGTCGAGCAAGCTCTTGCGCAAATCTTTCTTGGAATAACAACCCCTGTCCCGTCTTGCGTGAAGTACCCAAAGCGATTAGCTGCTTTCGCGCAGCTTTCCGTGGGAAATTCTGCGAGCAAGTCGAAACGCGGCTCCGATGCTGGCCAACAATCCCGAATCCCGCAGCAACTGGGCCCGTTTGCGTTTGGTGCGACATTTACAACGGCAAATATCGGCCAACAATTATCGAATCATTCCGCGCCTTAG